TGTCAGCCACTCAGCCACTCAGGTTTTTCGTCCTGTCAGCCACTCAGCCACTCAACCACTCAGGATTTTGTTCCTGTCAGCCACTCAGGCTTTCTTCGTGTCAGCCACTCAGCCACTCAGGATCTTGAGTGGCTGAGTGGCTGACAGGAAGAAAATCTGCATTACCACGTACAATTCTTTTTCGCGGAGATCAGTGTAGAGCCTCATTGGGGAGAAGAGGGGAGGTGGAAAGAGGCTGAAGGCGCTGGAAAAGGAAGAGCGTGTGTTTGATGTGTAAGAAAGGGACGGCGAGCGTCTTGGAGCAGACGAAAGAAGGGATCCGCTTAAGATAGTGGTTCCACCGCGAAAGACAGGGAGGGCGAGCAGCGGAGCCGTAACGCAAAGAGAGTGTTGCTGGAGATGCTGATCGACTAGGTGCAAAGGGGTCTGTTCCTTGACCAAAAGAGCATAGGCATGCAGACATTGGAGGCAAGGATCTGGACGGTCCAGAGCGGACGAGGCTCGGTGGCTTCCGACCCCCCTCGGCCTTAATCTCCGTGGCCAAGCACTTTTCCACCTCTTCCGGCACCTCAAGTTGGTGTTTTCGGTCCTTTCTCGGCCGGCAGGCCGGAAGTCTTGTGAAATCTTGTGAACGTACACGCCCTCCAATCCGTCGAGGCAAGACCGCGGACCAGGCTCCGCGGGCGTCAAGCTAACATACCTGCGGAGAGGTTCCCCCGCATCATGAGTTGGTACGACGTGCTGCATGCACGGAGGACCAGTATCTGCAAGCGCAAGCCTACGGCTGCCCAGAGTGTCCACGGCTGCGCATTAACCGCAAGGTTGATCCAACTATCCGCCAAACGGCCTCAACCGCTGAACGTGTTCTGCCCTTCATCCGCCTCTGCCAGCTGTTCCTGCACGCGGAACCTCTATACAAGTTCGAGGCGGCGAGGAGGAAGGTGGATCCGGCAGGATCACGTGTGACCATGTGTGACCCAAGTCATGACGGGGGGCCGGGATGGCAAGCTTCGGATGAACTGGACTTCGAGCAGTTGAAGGCTGCGGCTGTGGTTGGATCTGAGGTGTGAACCCATTTGAGAACCCTCCTATGAGGACCAAGCACACCTCAAGCACCGCAACAAGTCGGTGGTGTGATGGAAATACTCAAACTCTGCACTCTCCAGAGTCACCAGACCATGTGAGAACGTGTCCAACGTGTCAGTTCTTGTGTTTCGAGGTCGTCCTAACAGGATTCATTGGTTTGTAAACGGAATTCGTTGGGAAGTTTGCAAGCAGCCCTTCAAAAGGAAGAAGTGAAGGAAGTTAGTTGTTATTAAGTTACTCTGAGAGCAACCACTTCTTATTAATCCAAGCAGAGCCCATTCCGCACAACTGTGCAGCTGGACGGAGACGTACTTGAACACATTGCGGGCCTGAACATGAAGAAGTTCTCTTTCAGAGTGACGGTTTTCGTTCGTCAATGTGCTGCACACGGGCAGCACCTCAGCATCTTCATTATCAACTTGCCCAGCTAAAGGCAACAGGAATATGGCTCGCAATGGCTCGCTGTACGCGCACATTAAACGGGAGCCTCGATACCGCCAACAAGCATCGAACGCGGCGGAAGTACCCACTAACAGGTGGGTCGTTGTCAAATGCCTCAGAAAGCGACCTGTGGATTCACCAAAACCTGATTCTTTTCGAGGCGCTTTGGGTTCGAAACCTCATGCAAAAAAGACACCGACTTCTGCATGCATTTGGCCGCCGATAGCGACATCCCTTCTGAGAGAGTGCATGGGAAGAGTTGGCCACATGGCAAGCTTGGCCCTGGAGAAGAGGTCAGTGCGTTCAGGACCCCTCGTTCGCCATGGCGAACGATGCATACGCTTTGAACGCTTGGAACGCTTTAAACCCCTGGTTTGTAAAGGAAAAGAGTCGGACAGAGGGTGCCAAAACCACCGGGTCCATGAGTTTGTTTTCGGCAGTGTAGGCGGCTGTTACAGTTTTAGCTCCCACCTCCGTTCTCCAGTTGTAGATCCAGTGCCGAGATGAGCTCCTGGCCGAGTGGCTTGGCTGATGGGACGAAGCTTCTGGACATGGAAGACATGGAATCACGTGGGCAAGAGGACACCTAAAGCGGCCAACTTCACCACCTCTGCACTGGGCAGACTGGGCACACGTGTTGTTTTCAACAAACCCCTAAACAGCCAACTGCCATTTTCGACGAGTCGTTGAGAGTGTTGAAGCCTGTCCAAGACATGCGATTCGTTGAGCCATTCTCAAACCGCTTCACACCACGACTGAACCAGGTTTTCCAAACAACCCTTACACTGATTTGCAACCCAAACACTCCATGTATGGAATAAGTCATAAGTACATACACTGGGGTGGTTGAACAGGGGTCAGTCTAGGCAACAAAACAGTGGCCAAACCGGGCGGCGTCCGCCTCCTTGGTGGGCCACTCTTCCCAAGACAACAAGGAAGCGGTCAGCCCTGGCGAGATCCGCATCCGTCAGGTGTGTCCAACATCTAAATAACCTGTGGGTCGACGCCCTATGAGTGGAAGATCTTCGGGTGTTTCAAGGAAAAGGAACAAACAATCAAAGATCCTGTGGGTATCATCCCAAGTAAAGGTCGAACAAACAAATATCTGAATTACACCACCACCCAGACTTGAAAATATGGAACTCAGTCATAGCCACTGCGACACAAGGGAGACATCCCCTTTCAACATCCGGGTTCACCCTGCGATAGGGCACCATGTTGGGACGAAGTGGTGGAAGTTCAAAGCAAATCAAAGACCTCACGATTCATCCCACAGGTTGTCCTCGATTTTGTGCACGGAGTGTTTTCGGAGCCGAGTAAAACGTTGGGTGTGTCTTAAGAACGTGTTGTTTTTGGGCCAATCACACAGCACGTCGCGAAGTTCCACCCATGCACGTCCAGCTTTTCGTCCATGAAAGTGATGTGGTAGCTTTGGCAAAGCCAACAGCGGGGCAAAGCCTTTAGCGACTGCGTCAGGCACTGCGGTGTTCTCGTCATGTCACAGTTCCTTGGATCGGAATGCCACCAGAAAGAAACAAAACACCACCTTGCCCGGCAGGAAAGCCACGCGATTTGCAGGATCGTCTAGGAGGTGGATACACCCCAAACTCACCCCAGTTCCATACCATGATTTTGCAGATGTTACAGAACAACTGATGTTACACCTCTCATAGAGGTGTATTTTGCAGATGGTAACGATTGATCAGTGACTTCTGAGGTGTATCCTCCCTAAGGATCCAGTCGTACCCTCGTTTCGTTTCGTTTCGAAGGCGGGACGACAAACCCCCGGGTGCCATGGGACCGGGTCCAGTCGTACCGAACTTGAGGAGGTACGACCGGATCCCTAGGGCCTGTATGCTCATGACTTCCATCCCTCCGAAGACCGCCAACCGGTCGGTCGGTCCAGGTGACCGTCGACCGTCGACCCGCAGACCTTCTGCGCAGACGGCGCAAACGCTCGCTCGCCTTTCCGCTCTCGGTCGCGACGTGGAAGTAGCTGTCCTGCGGGATGCTGAGTTCGATGAGCATGGAAGGTGGAGGAAGTCCATGGAGATAGGTTTTGTCCTCCAGGACTCAGACTCTGGGAGCCCGTTTTGTACAAATCACTGGTTTAGTATGGTGCTTCTGTGGGATTGAGCTAGATCAGGAACCGCACATGGCTTCACAGGAGTTTATTCAATTTCAACATGTCAACACGTATCAAAACTATGAGCCTATATGTTCTCTTCTTGCCAATCACACTGGATGAGGACACGGCAAGTTACAAATGTTGCTTTGGACCAGTCTTGGTGCTTGGATGTTCTAATGTTTTACATAGAATGTATATGTCACTGTATACCCTAATGACAATTTCATGGTCGGGTCTCGTTATTCTATGCTTTGCTTTTTGCAGCTTCTGAACACAACACAAATGATCCAAACATGCTGATGATGTTGATCAGATTCTTTTTTGAACCAAATTAACTTCAATTCAACCTTGTGAAAGCTACAGTCACCCTTGTACTTGCGATAGGACACTATCTAAATTCATGATGATTGGTTTTGTGAAGTCACATGGCAGGGTATGTTGAGCCAATTCCGACACCACTTTGAAACGCGGAATGCTCAAAACATCCTATTGAGCTTGTACACAAACAGTTGCGCCGCACTTAAATATCATGAGAACACCTCCACTGGGAACTCCTCACGTACTGTGACTCACATTGCGTGAGGTTGTGAATCAATTCACGAAGGTTTCCGCCCCAAATAGATCTGTTGATAAAAACACAAACTGAAAAAGTAGGTGACGTCCTGGATGCAAAAGCCACGAAACCATGCAGCTTCCAGCGCATCACACTTCCTTTGTTTCACCTACTTTGTCCTTCACACTTCCAGGGCTCCCGGGTGTCAACTCCAAAAGGAACGACTCCTGTTACACGTCTTTCCCCAAAACACGCCCCTAGAAGAATCGCCCCTCCACCTCTGCCTCCCTCTACCCACCCAGCGCACGGAAAGTGCGAACAACCTACGACTCGACTCCGTGGTTCGCTCGCAGGGGTCCGTTGAAGCGATAGACCTCGACCTGATCCTTCTTGCCTCCGACGACCAAACCCCGAAGTTCGTCCCGCCCGACCGTCGACATCAGTGAACCTACATGCGAAACGGAGAACGACGGTTTCTGTGACCCAAGTCGTTTCAACATGTTGCAACACAGTCGCGTCCCAAAGAGTCGGACGGCATTTTGGGCATATGGAACTGTTCATCTGCATGGTTACTTTTCTTTTTTCCATGGGTTGTCACCGATCCTTAACAAGGTTGGGCAACTCATCCACTTCTCCGGGGCTAGGCATCTGCGTCCGTTCCACGTCCGCGGGAGGGCGGGAGGGCGGGAATCGGAGGCGAAACCCCGAACGCCACCGGGGTGGGGGCGGACGGTGTGAGAAGTACGTCGTACCCATCAGTGGAATCCACTGGCTGACCCATCATGACACGCCCATGACACCAGGAGACCGGTTTCGGGCACGAGAAAGCCTCCGAATGAAAAGGTCTGACTTGTGGCAAATGGTAGACTGGTTGGGCTTCAGGTGCCATAAACCATCTCGGTTTTGCCAGAGTTGCTTCAACAAGGGCGATGGATGATGGTTTCTACTTTGGTAAGCTGTGCCGGACGTGATCTTTCAAATTGCTGGAGTGCATGGACCACAGCTTCCTTCCTCAAACATCTTCCAACGAAAACAAGTCCAGCGTCGCACCGGGTCATTGCGTGAAGGTCGGTCTGGTCGGTCTGGTCCACACCGTAGAAGAAACGGTCTTCGTCTGTTCTTTTTTGGTGACCCCGGTCCTGGAGACTGGTTATGGAGTGTAAGAGTGTAGAAGGAACTCTTTAAGTTGAAGCATTTCTTCTGCAAAGCATTCAGTTGAACAAGCATTGTCTTGAAGCATTTCTTCTTGCATGTCCCAGCGGCTTTGTCTTTGCCCATGTTTGGTCCCACAAGCCATGACAACCCCATGCCATCTCAGAGGGCACTTGTCGTTTTTGGGGCGCGCCCAGTGCATCGACTCCATCCACTGCGCAGTGTGGCGCCACTCGACTCGCTTTTGCTGGCGGTTTCGGCCGCGCGTTTCACGGCCGTGGGCGATGGGCGTGCCACCTCAGTGAGATGAAGGCGATTGGTTTACAAATAACTGCCATACCAGGAGTCACAAGACGGAGTGGTTTTTAGTCCCATCCAGTGAGTGGATAATGGACACCCCTATCCTCCAATAGGCACCCCTTTGTGACTCCTGGTAATTGTATCTTCTTGTCCCTAGTAGTAAGTCCAAGAGCTACTATATAGTGGCGATGCCCTGTGTTACTAGTAGCGATGCCCTTGTTCCTACTACCGAGAGGTCTAGACGAAGTGCAGAGATGTCACGACTTCCACAGTTCTATGCCCAGCTGAAAAGGATCCATGCACAAACAACCCAAACTTCCGCCTAGATGCACACAGCTGTTGAACAAAAACACAAAGTCGCCACAATTCTTCTCTTCACCCTCTGCCATAGAGGGTCTGACCCCTGCCATGCCATGGAGGGTCCAAGGATTCTTAGGGCAGGTGAAAGCCAAGGAACCCGATGCCATTTTGGAGATCTAAGTGCCGCTCCGACTGCAGAAATCATCTTGACCCTCCAAAAGACGGTGAAAACAATTGGACACCCACAGATTTCAGGTCAAGTGAGCTGATTGTTTGCAGAATGTCTTGATGGACAAGAATGTCTTGATGGACATTCTTCAACTGCCTCTCCCAGTTTCTGTGGAACATAAACTCGCCATTGGTTGCCCAAGCACGGCGAGGCGGGGCCGAAAAGCTTGGCCCGCGGGGAAGGCGCACCACGCAGCGCGGAAGAACCTGAAAGAAGCCGCGAAAAGGTCCAGTTTTGCCGTGGAACAACAGGTGGCGCGAGTTGGAGGGCGCCCACAGGTTGTCGCTGGAGTCATACAATCTCCCAGTTTCAGCAACCGAGGGCAAATTCGTGAAGTGACACCTCCGGCTCATCACAACTTGCGCTATTTAGAAAGGAAAACAGCCACTTTCTTCAGTATCTCTCATCTATAGGGCCGCAACACGGACCCCCTTTCCAATCACTTCCACTCACCAACCTCGACTTCCCCCCGATCCGCTCGACCTGCCGGGCGCCTGCCTCGTCCTCCGAGCGACACCCGCTTGATCCGAGCGGAGCTCCTGCAGCGAAACATGGAGCAGAAGTCTAAAAAGTCAAGTGCGACTGAAGCATCCAGACTCTTAATTACTATATTTGCACTACTATGAGCTGCTATTTGCTATAGACTCTATACTATACTCCTATTTCATGTCGCTGGCCTGGCTTGCAGATGCCAAAGCAATTCACAAAACCTGCCAGAAGATTTGTTTGCCGAGAGCCGTGTGAGGGTCTTAGGTTGCACCTAACCCAGAAAATCACCCTGGATGGTTGACGTGATGTATGATGGACCGAAACAAAGCGTTTCTCACAAAACAAATATGATTTGATGCTACCTCTCATGCCTTTTGCTGCAGAATTGCTATTACTTGTCGGTTTGGTTCGCGTTTGCTTTGAGAGATAAACAAAACGGTGCACTACGCCCACTTGTGATGGCCCTTCTCTTGAATTGCCCAACCCATTTCGATTTCCGAACTGCTGGGCGTTCTTGCTGTCAGTTCTCCATTCTCGCTTCAACCTAGAGAAGCAAAACACTAACAATTTGTAGGCTCCTGGATGAAACATCACTTTTTCCAGGGAAGAGATGGAAAACACCGTCTTTTCTCGACAAAGATTGTCTTTTGGTAAAAACACTGAAGAATAGCCCCGGCTACCACAAACAAACACGTGTCTCCCGGATCTTGCTTTTGGGTGAGTGCCGTGGGACATTGATCGATCCGCAAGTCACCAAATGTCGAGTATTCTTCCGATTCTTCCATCTGTTTTGGTCATTGCCTTTTTGTGAATTTGGAGGGCGACTTGACTGAAAACATAAGACACCGTAGCCGTATTTATCCCGTACGGAGCCCGTACTTAACCCGTACTAACCCATACGGAACCCGTATTTTCGATCTGCCCCACAAAACATTGTGTTTTGAGAACCCGTACGGAACCCGTGCTAACCCATACTAGCCCGTATATTTTGTTTTGCATCACCAAACGCCATTTGTGAGTTCTTAGGCTCGTAGCTGCATGTTGAAGGCTCAAAAAAGATGTTGGTATTTCTTGGTGAGGTCGACATTTGGTGACTTGTGTCCGAAATTCAGGTACGTGCCGTCAGATCCCAAACGCACCATTTGGAAAACATTGTCTTTTCCAAAAATGGATCGTTTTTTTTCTGCTAATTTACTACGTTTTCTAGGTATCTTGTTTCCCTATCCCGAATTCCAGGCTGCGTGGCCCGTCCTAACAAGGAACAAAGGGCATCGCTACGAACGGAGCAAGAATTAAGCTACTAGTAGCTCCTGGCATTACTAGTAGGAACAAGAAGCTACTAGTACCAAGGATGCTACTAGGGGCTCCGCTTTCCCCCCCCGATGTGCCTGGCACCTCTCGCCCACCGATACGCGGGCGAAAAGAAGACCATGAGGGTCCCGGCGATGGCCACTGTTCGACAGAAAAGTCCATCTCCACTTCTTAGAAAAGAGACCGACTTCTTAGTCTCCATACTTTTTCAACCAAATGCTAGTACCCGACTCTACAGGTCTACTACTCCAGTGGGTGTTTGGAGACTTCAAAATGGCGGTGACCTGGCAGTGAGGATGCTTTTTTTCTTCATTTTCGCAGTCAATTGAAAGTCCTGGACGTCGTGCAAAAGAGATGATGTCGCACAAAAGCCATTCTCGCTTGGAAGCTTTCGATCTACTTCACAGATTGTGGTGGGCATTCCGTAATACAAGACAGCATTGCAAGTTGCTCAGTAACACCCTGGAAGAGACTGATCAGAGCCGAACCTGAAAACGACTGGGTTGGAACGAGGACCATGGTCATAACCAGTGGGCCATAACCAGTGGGTCCAGTCTTTGGGAGTGTAGTAGACCGTTTATATCCGTTTATCAATTCAACAAATCCCTAAGAATCCTGGGGCTCTCGATGGCAGGGGTCGGACCCGAGACCTAAACGTAGGGGTCTGGGCCCTCAAAACCCTATGTGTTTGAGGGCCCGGATTCTTTGGAACGAGGACCATGGTCATAACCGGCCATTCGACCCGGGTCTAGTCTTCGGGAGTGTAGTAGACCGTTGATATCCGTTTATCAATTCAACAAATGTAAAAGCAATTCAACGAAGGGTTCCGGCTCTGGGTCGCTCCCTTCACCAGGTCTGCGCCGATTCTGGCCTCATCGGTCTCGTCTCGACTTGGTCCCAGTCGATGGGTGGACAGCAGGCCCCCGCCTGTGCACGAGAATGGCCAGCGAGTCCGACATGGAGGGTGTAAAATGGTAAAAACATATACAAAAATACAACCTGTATCACGGAGTTTGGGTTTAAGTCATTGAAACACACCCCTGACAAGCATGCATGTGTTTACCATACAAAAAGAACCCTTTGGGTTGGTGTTGGCACATGATGCTGTGCTTTGCCCCCCAAAATTTTAACCATCAGGAAGCTGCCCTGGATCTCACCATCCCACACTCGCCATGCCGGGCCATGCCCAACGCGCCGTGCGTTCCGATCACCCCACGAAGAAGTCGGACCTCGACAGATTGAGAGGACCTCGTTGGCACAAATGTCTAAGGTTTGAGGTGGTGACCCCCATCTGATCTAACCCTATATGGATCCACATACCGAACCTGAGGTACGGTGATTGGAGACTATTTATGTAGGCGCCATTGTCGGGTCCTGGCGTCTAGCTTCTGAGGTACGGTGGCAGTGGATCCATAGGGTACAACATCTTGGGGTGCCCAGTGCCATCGAACTACGAGACGAATCGTAGTTCATCCACCCGACTGCCCACCTCATGACCCGGCTGCACCTTCTCGACTGGACGACTGCTCGGCTGCACTGCCCGGCTGCACTATGCCTGCGATCGATCCCCCATGACTGACGAGTGGCGGTGTGTGGTGAAAAATGGTGATTTC